GAAAAATTTTAATGCGAATTCAATAAAAATTCCCACTTTACGTGACAGGTAATTCATAAGTCGTATAAAAATAGATGACACGACACACTATAAGTAAAAAATGAATTTTAATTAAGAAAAGATTTTTGGAAAATTTTCTACAGTTTGTTTTTTTCTTTTTTGGGGGGATGCCAGGGTCCCTTGGCTACATACTAGGTGCACCACTTTAAGTATAGCCGAACTTATAAGATAATTAAAAAAAGACTACAACTTTGAAAGCATGTAGAATTTCAATCAGAAGACTTACAGAATCGGTTAAATTGTAAATTTATAGCAAAACATATCAAGTTTTATCTCAAACAATCATTTGGTTCGGTATGACGTCAGTGGTGATACGACAGACATCCCACTAGAATTCAATTTATTATTAAATTTAATGCGTCATATATATTGTCATTTCGGTAACGGTGACGATGATTCGTGTTTTGAACTCAGCGAGATTTGCAAGGGTAGAGTAAACACTAACTATTTAAACGGAACTCCATAAAAAATATCGAGAGGTGTTAAATCTGGGAAACCAGATGGCTATTCTATCGGTCTAGTTCGACCAAACAACTGACCTGGGATACGTTTATTATACAAATTCCGGACATCTGTCATCTTGATGAAAGTACATGTCTTACTGTGTTATCGCGGTTCAACTATGGAATGAGAAAATTTTCCAGCAAATCCAGTTATTATCAAGGTTCTCCCATGGAAAAAGAAGATGCCGTACCCTTTGTATTTGCTAAAAATCCTTGAAACAAATTCATTTTTAAATTGTCACGAACACATTCTACATTGCATAAAGGTTTTCGAAGCCCCAAATTTTTTGGTTGTGGATATTCGCTTTACTACTGAGATGAAATGCTGTCTCATCACCGAAAACAATATTGTCCAGAAATATCTCGTCTTCGTCAATCCGATGCAGCATTTTTGCGCTACCTGAAACAAATTGTGTTTTGCTATAAATTAACGCCTGGACCGATTCTGTAAGTCTTCTAAATATAATTCTATAAGCATTCAAAGTTGTAATGCCTTTATGAAGACTCATATTGTACTACCTGCTATAATTTTTATGAATGTATACTGTGAAATTCATCAATTTTATCAGAATAAGTTCTAATAAAAGAAATTTTTTTCTGAAATTTTTATCGAGTTGTTTTATTTGTCTACAAGGATATAAACAAGATTGAAATGGATAATATACAGAGGTATATGCCGTATAAACTACTTTGTCCTTTTTTATAAAAATATCCTACACATTGAAGTTCTGTATAACCGGAGAGTAATTGATAAAAAAAAAATCTAAATCTAACTAATACTTCATTTTTTACATATAAATTGCTCTTTATTTTCTTTCTATCCAAAATACAAATTTTAAACGTTAAAGAAGAAATTGTAAAGAAACAATATATATATATATATATATATTTTTAAAGTAAAGNCACAATGCCGGGCTGCAATTTTTCGTTAGAACGCTCTCAATTTTAGTAGTGTTTTCCCCTATATATCATACTTTTCCTGTTAACTTTAGAATCATGCCGGTTATCTATCTAACTCCGTTCAGGAGAATTCTGAATTAAAATAACGTGACTTCCGGTCTATACCGGAAGTCACGTTATTACCGGAAGTTTATATATAGTTATCGGAGCTTATACCGGAAGTTCATATATAGTTAATCGGAGCTTTTTGCCCCTGAGGTATTCATTTCTGGTCTCGAGATTAAGGAAGGGTAGACAGACAGCCAGCCAGACGCCGGTGGGAATTGATAGGTCTGCAACTTTTGAAAATTGCAGTCCAACGATAAAAGGATATTGGAAAGAGTTTTATGCCAATCTTAATCTGTATAAAAAATATTGAAACACAACACATGCACTACAACAACTTCAAGAATTGAAGTTGTTGTAGTGCTGGTAAAGAATTGTAAATTCCGAAATGTCTCAGACAAATTAAACTGATAATATGTTGTTCCTTTGGCTAAACCTTAATTATTTAGTAAATTATCTTAATATGGGTATATTTTTTAATAAATTAAACAAACACATTAAGAATTAGATAAAAATCCGAGAGAAAATATTTAGTATCAAATTAAAATTTTAATTGTTATTTTTTCACGTTTATATAAAATTAAATTACTGCATATAGAATCTCAAAGCTTATTTAATCGATCCAATCCTAGTATATTCGTTTCTCATCCGAGAGAAGACATAAAGATCTAGATAGAAAAAAGTCATAGTTTAACATTTTATAATAAACGCATATACATATGAAACGATAAAATGCAACCATGTAGTGATGTATTCTATAATCGTCTGATGTGGATAGTAAATACTAATTCTTTCTTTTTGAGATACAGAATTTGAGGAGTCTACCTCAAATTCTGTATCTCAAAAAGATCTACTAAAGTACTAAAAGTCATAGTNTATTAATATATACCGTTTAATTATTAAATGGTTCTGCCACTGTGGACACAAATGACATTTCATAAATAGTTAATTGGTTACGATAAAAATGTTTTAATTTTGCTTTTTTGATGTTAAATTCCAACTATTACACCAATGCTTTATTTCAGTGTTTCTTACCTTTTGAGTGATCAGCACCCCTTTCAATTTCAAAATAAGGTCTAGCACACCTTGAAAATTATATTCAATTTTTCTTTTTTTTTTTTTGTTATAAACTCCAAATGAGTTCAAGATGACAAAGGTAGAGAGGATCATTGTGAGGATCCCGTAGTGTTTTCAGTTTATCGTGGGTTCTGAGAGTAGACAGCACAGTCGAGTCAAATTTATATAGCATAAGACAATTTTAAATTTTATTTTACACATCTACAGGTTAAAAACCTATCGTTACCTTTCTCACCCCCCAAAAATGCTTTCTCCAACTGTGCACACGACCTGCTACTTTATTTGAAGATTCAAATACAAGTTCTTGAAATGGCGTAATTATTTAGTATAAATGTTTATTTAATTGGCCATTTGCTATATAGTATCAACGCTCAACACTTATATCGATATATTCAAATTTTACTATTACCATTATTGTTATATTTGTAAATAATAAGATTAATTCATGAAATCTCATAATGAAGTCATAAAACATTACTAAATTTGAACTAGATGGCTTATAAGGTTTTGTGAAAAATTTAGATAATAAGGACTAGTCTCTATACAGTAGGCCTACATAGATATTAACAAGTAAGAAGATAGTATTTACATCTACCTAATTTGCATAATTGAGTTGTGACAGCTAGAAATTTACATTTGAATAAGATTTAGTTCATGCATTGTGTACTCAGCAGCAAGGAGTCAAATATTTTGTGAATCAATAATATTCTGAATATCATCCAAAAAACATAGTCCTACTGCTAAGATATTTTAAAACACAAATAGATTTTGATATCTTGCCTAAAAATATTAACTAAAAAAAAAAGAACGAAAGAACATTATACAGTATATATACAATATATTGTAGAAGATTTTGATAAAATTCTGCAGAGCTTGTTTGGTCGATATGTCACAATCCAAGATTTCTTTTATTGCTAATTTATATAGAACAATATAACTAATAAAAATAAAATAAGTTATTTTATTATTTTTAAGTTGTAAAACATTTTAAAAATTTAAAAAATAAACGACAATTACAAAAAAAAAATACGAACTTTTTCTCAGGATATTATTCGAATTTATAAAAAATTCTATTTAAAGTATAAATGCATTAAAAATGAACCACAGATGATTGTGTAGACAGCACTAAGCATAATTACGGAATGGTTGTAGTCTATACGAAGTTATCATATCTCTTCCGGAGAAAAATATTATACAACGGAACTAATGCCTAAATTTGAACAAAGATTGGTTTTAGTTGAGAAACGTTAAAAAGATAAAGACAGTCTAGTTTTCTAAGTTATAAGGAACCGTTAAGTTATCATTAAGAAAACTGAAGACGACATGTCTATCTAATTAATATTAATATATTAAAAATTCTTTCATTAATACATCTCGAATTATATTGATTCTTATAATCATTATATCACTTGTACAATGTTCTCTTTAATGTATTAGAAAGACCAATAATTTATAAAATATTAAACAAATAGATTACAATATATAACAATAAATATATATACTGTAATACAATTCTAAATGGTTTTATTAATTGAAATTATAATTTTAGATTTAAATATTTTACACGTTAAACTTTCTAAAAATCATGTAATATTTTTGGCTCTTCATTTCATCTTATGAATGCTTACTCATCAAGTAGCCTAATGCTTACGCATCAAAAATTAAAGTAGCCTTACATTAAAGTTACTAAATTTTGACAAAATAATTCAATTTTAAGAGGAATGAAAAAACGCTATTCAGCTTATTAAGCGTTAAATTAGTTTCTGAATGACGAAAGAAATGTTATTAGTAATAAATTAATTGTAATCAAATGTGCAAGTCTTACAGTTAGAATTCTATAGAAACATTATATTTTCTTATTCGTTCTGTTATTGACCTCTGTACATAGATACAAATAGTTTACAGAAGCCAGTAATTTCCAAATATCACTATTGTAACAGTAATGTTTTTATAGGATCTGAGAATATTTACTTCAGAGCTTCGTTGCTTCAATAAGAAAGAATTTTATAAAAGTTCTCTTAAAACAGTAATTTAAAATATATATACTGTATGTTATTGTAATTTAAATGATAAGAATAAATATGTACCTGTACAGTACATCCTATATTTGCATTTTATATTTATTGTTACAGTCGTTTGAATAATTCAATATTTAAAACTTGAAATAATAAAATTTTTTAAAATATATTTTTGATATTTTAGTAAGTTGATAAGTGTTTTATGAATGTAAGTTTTTCTTAAATTTTGTTTTTATACGAAAGTTTTGTCTGGGTTTAAATTTCGTTTTAATTTCGTTTTTTGTTCACCGGGTTTTAGATGAAGCTGTACGAGGTTATAAATTGGAGCGTCATACGATCGCGACCTCACAAGCGAATTAAATTTCGTGTAAGAATGTGCTTTTCTGTCGATCGTACAAGTCAATTTGATTATAGATTGAGGAGTTTATTTGTACAGAAACGTGATAAAAGACCGAGGTAGGTTCATCTTGCAACGATTGGAGATAAGAAATTTTCATTCTGATGTATATTTTTTCATATTTTGACTGTTTTTTGATCGTTTGGTAATTCGTTCCTATTGTCGCCATTGTGTGGCGTTTTATTCTCGAACCGGATCTAGGTCGATAATCTCGAAGCAGCTGATATAAACAAAACCACGTGTTCGTATTAGAATCCATAATGGGCTTGCAAAAAGAGGCAATCTTAGTGCCCACAGGGCGGAAACAGTTAAAAAAACCAGCCATATGATTTATTATTTATAGTNGAAATTTTCATTCTGATGTATATTTTTTCATATTTTGACTGTTTTTTGATCGTTTGGTAATTCGTTCCTATTGTCGCCATTGTGTGGCGTTTTATTCTCGAACCGGATCTAGGTCGATAATCTCGAAGCAGCTGATATAAACAAAACCACGTGTTCGTATAGGAAATCGCTGAAATGGCTTCGAGCACGTCATTAGAAACTATTGTTCAAGTGAATGAATCCGCGCAGAGGTATCTTTGTCAATCGATGAATTTCGCAACCGATGACAGACAAAATTACGATAAAATGAGGATGGCGAAGATGTCACGTAAGACTAGCGTACCTGCTAAGAAGAATTTGCCCAAGCAGGAGAGTACCAATCACGGTCATCAACACAAATGGTTGACAGGTAAACGAAGACATACCTTTAGTGGTGAAAAATTTCCGCCAAAGAAAAGATATCGTGGGAATGTTATTGTTCCGCCGACAAAATTTTTGCTCGGTGGTAATATTAACGATCCGCTTAATTTGGAAAGTTTAGCCGACGAAGAAGTTAATAAGAGAGTAAATCAGGTTACTCCGTATTCTTCTCCGATCCCGACACCCAAATACCGTACTCAAGTCGAAGTACTCATACCGACAAATATAAATGATCCGTTAAATCTTAATACAGGGGAAGATATAGAATTTAATTTAGTTTCTCCAAAATCCAAAAAGAATAGAAGGAATCGTAGTCGTAAAAAGGAAGCAACCGAAGTTATTGAAGACAAAGTCGAGGATGTACCAGTTGCCGAAGAGAAAGAAAAAGAAGTTGAATTGCCAATAAAAACCACCACAGAAGATCTCAAAAATTTACATATTCCTACTTCTAAGAGTGAAGAACGAGTGGTTGATAAAATTGTATCGCCTGTTGTTCCGCAAGGTTCCCCGTCAAAGTTCCCTCGTAGATATCATAGGAGTATATCAAGAGAAAATGTTGAAGGTGTGAAAACAGCCACCACAAAAAGTCAGAGAAAACGACATAAGCAACGTAAGAAGCAGCCCGATCAAGTTAAATATCGTGAGAAAGATGAACAGTTTCGATATGGAAATTACAACCGTTATTATGGATATCGCAATCAGCACGGTGAAGATCCTCGATTGAAATGTATGAAAAAGAAGTGGTTTGAAGGAAAAGATGTGTTGGATATTGGTTGCAATGTTGGTCATTTTACTCTTGAGATTGCCAAAAACTTAGGTCCAAAAAAGATCATCGGTTTAGATATCGATCCTGCTTTGATCAAAGTTGCTCGGAAAAATGTACGTCATTATATTTCTACGCAAATGTTAGGAAATGAAGTATTTCCAGTTTCAATGGCTGTGTGTTATGGACCTGTAGCTCGTACAACTTTACCTTTTGGATCAAAACAACCAGTCTCATTTCCAAACAATATATTCTTTGTACAGGTAAGTTTTAAAGTTCTGTTAATTAAAATAGTTATTTTCATTATAAAATAATTTTAATAACCATCCAATCATCAGCCAAATTAATTGGGCAGAAATAATGCTACAAATATGGGACATTTATATAAAAATAATTTTCATGGAATGTAAAACTCTTGGAAAAAATTTATTTAGCTAACAATTCATGATTTTAGCATTATATTAAACATTGCACACACTAATTATTTTATTAATTAACAATACTTAATGGAGCATATGTTTAATATGGAGGATACATAATGTTACACATTAAGATATATTTATAAACAGTGAATGAGTTGCAATGAATAAGTTTGTATAGTATTCCTTGTTCAAAATTATATATGAACTGCATTTTCTTTAATTTAATATGCAATAGATACCAATGCAAGTGTTGTAATGATTATATACATTTTATATTAAAATATTACTGTATAAAGAAGAACATTGAAAATAAATAAATGAGATGGTGAACCTACTGTAGTAAACTGTTAAGAATAAGCTTGTAAGATTATTCTAAAATTTTATAAAAAGCATAACTGTATTTGAACACAGACACAATACCATTGAAACTAACAAAAACAGACACTGGAAATAGAGTCACACTCTACTTCTCATTTCTACTATAGTCCACACAGCAAAAGAGTAGACATGAATCAGTCTGAGCTGGAAGAGCCTATGTCAGATGGAAGGAGACAAGTGAAAGTTGACACATGAATCACTTTTAGCTTTTTTACATTTTAAAAACATTTTTATACTATCTTTATCATAAATAATATTATTTTTTTTTTACAAATTTTATTATTGTGATCCATGTGTCAATTCCTACATGTCTCCTTTCATTCCCTTTTCTCTGACATTAGAACCTTCCATCTCAGGCTGACTCATGTCTACTCTTTTGATATATTGATTACAGTACAACTTTAAAATCTTTTAAATGCACTTTAAATAAATCAGAATTATTAAACCACTATAATATTATTCATTATACAGTAGTACCTCAGGATACAAACGCTTCAGCATACAAAATTTTCAGGATATGACATGAAATTTGAACATATTTTTGCTCTATGATACAAACAATAACTCACCTTACGACGTTACATTAGTTTGCATTTTTTATTCATTTCTGTTCATTAGTCTCAGTCTGTGTGTTTGCTTTGTTGTGGAAGGATCTCGCTCGATAAAGGAAATCTTGAGGTATTATCAGAAAGTGACTGATTTTATTGAAAAGAAACATCCCAAAAAGGTTTCACTGGCCATATTGCTGCTCAGTTTAATGACATTTGTCTAAGTCATTTTAGAAACATTTTAAAAAGTAGGCAAAGCCAAACCTCTTTGGATATTTTACCAAGCAACCTCTATCCAGTGAAAGTGCTGGTGGAAGTGAAGGAAAGAAAGCAAAAAGCAGTGAATAAAAAATTTTAAAAATATATATAAAACAGAAAAGATAAAAAAAATAAGTGTTAAATTATTTTTAAGTTATTGTTACATTATGTTATGTAAGTTAAGTTTTAGTATCATTTCCCTTCTCCCCTCCTCCGCCACCAATTTACACCTGCACCATCATCTATCCTCAAAGGTAAAGGGCAAATAAAACTACATTTTTTAATCAATTATTATTCTATTATGGTTATTTATACATTTACAACTACAAAACAGATACACTGAGTTTAGATACTGGAGTAAGGATATATATATATAACCGAGATTTGGGTGTGTCAGATTGACTATGATATTAAAAGATAAAATGACTTCTTTTATATTTGGATCACTATAAATGCTGTGTGTGTGTGTGTGTGTGTGTCAGAGGTATACCCATGTGGGACAGAATTTCCCATACTACTGCTCTTCCACCTCCTCACTCTGCCATCCCCCATTACCACTCCACAAAAGTTTAAAAGTAAACAGCATAAAAAAGTCACAAGAAGTTGACCATGGTATGAAACATAAAATACTAGGCTACTTGAACAGCCATGAGGTAAAGGAGAATAAAATTTATACTTGTTCTTGTTCAATCTTTTCAGTTTTTTATTGACATTGTCATGTATATCAGTGGTTTGCTTATGACATTCAAGGTGCTGCCATACTGATATGGTAGCTACTTGTACAATAATGTGTTGCTAGTGATCTTGGACTATTGCATTTAATTATAGCCTACTTATGCGCACCATTGGCAATGTTGTTGACCCACACTCATAAATTTTTGGTTAGGTTATATCCCTTGATACTACATACCATATTTACTCACATATAAGATGAGGTTTTATCCATTTTTCACTGCTTCAAAAACCTATGTTGTCCTATATGTGTGAGTGAAGGATTCTTTTCATTTTTGTATAATTTTTGTAAACTATGTATTTGCATATTTTACTGAATTCTCACCTTCTGGTGTTTAAAAACAAAAGTATTTTATCTAGGTCGTTTGAATCGTTCTTGTGTATTGCCAGGAGTAAAGATGAATAGCAATAGGAAAAGCAAAGCTTTGGAATTGAATTCCAAAATTACATGGGAGCCCAATATAAGTTTTAATCCATTCCCATGTGAAAACAGATGATTATTTGGAAATTCGAAGAAACTCATAAGTGTAATCGACAAAGAGTGAATTCTACTGTTAAGAATTGGCAAAAAAGGTTCCTGATTGTCCAGCTTTACGTGAACAAATTATGTTGTCGATTTTACAAGATTTTTCCTTGAAGTTTAAGGTGCCAGTAATATTTGTGGAACAATGTGTATATTTACGTGCATTTGATATTTTATTTATTATTAAACAAAATAAAATTAGAATTGTTTTGATAAATCTAATTTTCTTTATTTTGATCTTTAAAGTCACACCTCGTCCTATATGTAAGATCGTCTTATATTTGAGTAAATACGGTATATACATTATTTAGTAGTATCTGTAAGAAAATTAGTTGACCAAGAGCAAATAAAATTGATTCCGTAAAATGTTAGAAAATTTATGCTTTGTGTAAAACGTAAATATATATGCAAACAAAATTAGTAAATAAAAAATAATTGATGAACAAATGTTTTAAAGAAAGTAAAACGAAAAGCATAAAAAAACAAAAGCTAAAATGGAAAATAAACTGTGATTATCTGTGGTATTTTGACTGTAAAATTTTACATTGTAGAATTGAATTTTGGCATTAAAAAATGTTTTCTGAAAAGTTATGATCCATTTGATCCTTTTCTCTAAACACCTAGAAACATATGAGATTCATAACATTTGGAGAAAACATCCACAAAAATTTACTGTTAGAGAAGGAAAAAAATTTAAATATGAAAAGATAAAATATTTCTCTAAAAGGAATAATGCTGACTTTGAGAAATATTGATTATGAAAAACATTTTTTAAATTTAGTAAATGAAAATATTTTTTTGATGCTCCAATTACATGAATCATTTTCATATCATATGTTTAACCCGGTTATTCTTTTGTTTTTAAATGTAAAAGAAATCTGTAAGAGTATTTTCATTTACTATATATTGTCATGAAGCACAAAGTAACAATGTTTGTATGAATAGAAATAAATTTTATTAAATGAAATAAATAAAGGAAACTCAAATAAACTGAAACAAGTTGTTAGAAAACAAAAAGAAATTAGAACATCAGAAAAAAAAAGGTTTTGTCTGTTGTTTAACAAATGGAAATTACTCTCTAAAACAATTTTTGAATGAATGGTTTCATGAGCACTCTTTCTGTTTGAACAGTTTTTGAAAGGTCAGCATGGTCTTCTTTCACTGGACTAAGATTCATCTGGTTCCAAGAGAAAAATCTATTTGGTCAAGTGCACTATCATCAATAATAGTGCACTTTCAACTTTTATGCACTGAAATAGTTTTAAAAGAAATAGTTATAATTTTGGGGTTAAATATACCATTATATGAAAATTAATTATAGAAATATGTTGTTAAAAAATAGTTTCTCCAACTCAGAGGGCTCTGGAGCATGTTCCACTGCTCAAAATGAAACATTTGGACAATGGGTACTTCAGATGATGCATCTGCCATTTATTAAATAAAATTTTTTCATAAAAAAGAAACTGATAAGTGGCACTGGAGCTATGCAAATCACAGTTGTAAATGTTCAGTATGTCCTCCATTGTTTTCATCAATGTTCTCCATTTACAAAAGCATATTTTCTGCAGCTGAATACAATGAGTCCACTTTAATTGCAAGAACATGCTGACAAATTTTGTTTTTTAGAGTTGACACAGATGTATATCTTTTATGATAGACCTGGACCTTCAAGAAACCTCATAGGCAGAAGTCACACGGGTTGAGGTCAGGTGAGCAAGAAGGCCAAGTTGTTGGGAAGTAACAGCTGATCATGATTGAAAGTCTGCTTTAACATGTTGAACAGAGCAAGCAATATAGGATGGTGTACCATCTTGCATGAATGTAGTATCCCAAAGACACCCATGTTATTGAAGCTCTGGGATCCTTAAAGTTGCCAACATGTTAAGATACTGTTATCTGGTGACAGAATAGGTTTGGATTCCTGTTACATAGCTCCAGCACTACCTGTTGATGACTTTTTGTACAAAAAATTTTTATTTAATAAATGACAAGCTTATCATCTGAAGTACCTGTATCCAAATGTTGTTTCATTTCAAGCAGTAGAACACATTCCAGAGCACTCTGAAATGGGGAAATTATTCTTTAATAACCCTGTATATATTATTACATACATATATTGTAAGAATATATTAATATGGTATTTTTAAAAATATAATGGCACATTAGAAAAAGAAGCAACTAGAAATCTCATTACTGTCTTATTGGCATTTTTATATTTTAAATTAATTCATGCAGAATAAATTAAATTATAGGCCTACATAATTTGAAATTGAGAACATGCTATTAATGATTAATTAATTAAACAGATATTAGTGACTTTACTACAGATTGGCAACAAAACCATCTATCTTTAGTTCAAATTACATAATATCTATTTAATTAGCCAAATTTTAGTTCTATAG